CTCTATAGTTTCTTCTACTTTTTCCATTCTCTCCTCCACCCCTTCCATTTTTTCTCCTATTTCCTCCACCCGGTTCTCTATACGATCCATATGAAAAGCAAAGCCCTGAAAGATTTGAGACATATTCTCACATAGTTCATCATTCTTTTTAGCAAGCAACTCTTCTGTCTCCACTCTTACTTGCTGTACAATTTGTTTGTGCATCTGCATCTGCATCAAAGAGTCCTGTAAGTCCTTTAAAGTAATATAAGGTGGTGAAGAGGGTGGGGGAGTTTTAGCTCTCTGTTGCGTGGCCTGTACAGCTGGAGAGGAAACAGCTGACTTAAGTGCTGGAGGGGCTACACCACGTTTAGAAGCCATTCTGAAGCTTAGAAAAGGTTTTAATATACAATCCCAAACAGTTAAAAGTCAAACAAATTTTTCTTTAATTTTTCTTGATTTTTTGGAGATTTTTCGTTAATTTTTGAAGATTTTTTACAGTTTTAACAATGTAGCCATCCACAACCGGAAGGAAAGTAAAAGTATCTCTTTAGCACAAAGAAGCGGCAAACCGCAGCCATTTTTTTTTCTCCAAAAAGTAACTTTCAATTTTCAATCCTTGAGAAGAATGCTTAAAAGTCTGAGTCAAAGTTTTAAGTTCTTTATAAAAGATCCAAACTTCCTAGTTAGCTCCGTCTGTGAAAAATACTCACAATTTAATTCGAAAAAAAATCAGAAGTGGAGATGGCGTCTGGCTTCGCTTGCAGCGAAGACGTCCTGATCTGCGGAGAAGCTCTGAGCTCCGGAGGAGTTCTCACCTTCACCTCGCTGGGAACACCTAGGGAGGCTAGGGAACTCGACTCCTACTCACAAGCAAGCTCTCCTTCTCTCCTTTGCCCGGAGAGAAGTTTCAAAGCGCCCAACAGCTGATAAATGCTGTTTTAGCGCTTTTTACGCAGTCCTGAACGGGAGGCTGTCAAAACAACCCCCTTCGGCAGCCGCCGAGCCACCAGAAGTCCCCGGATCCGATCGATTTTGTCATGCAGGTAACACCCAAATTCCTCTGCCCGACCCTGCAAAGGGACATCCCGGACCCTCTGATGAAGGAGGGAGCGGGACACCCTAAACAGGGCGGCAGATCGATTACCTGCAGACGCGATAAGAGCGGAGAAATAGTTTCGTTTCGCCGCTCTTATCGCTACTAGGTAAGTCCTTAAATGGGACTTTACCAATTTCCGATCGGATTCGGAGCGGGTGGCCCTCCAATTACTCTCTAGGCATCTCTTCCGACGCTTCATCACCCTCAGCTCCTCGGAGAACCAAGGAGCCAAGGTAGACCGGCATCAGGTGAGGGGCCGCAAAGGCACGACC